GGAAAAAAACAAACACTGCCACCTTCCTTCATCTTGCCCCTGATATATATATGTATGCTTGCATGGGGAGATGACACAACCCAGCGAGCGGGGCATCCGTCGCCGTCGCCTGCTAGATGGATGGGCCTGCCCAAACGGAGCACCTGCGAGCGGAGCGACAGGAGCACCACAAGGCACAAAAAAAGGTGCAACGGATTTGTGAACGCACATGATGCACGGATTTGTGACCCAAGATTCTGTCGCATTATTCTTTTTCTTGAGAAGAGGAACGGAAAGGGATTGGATAGGCTTGACTATAATATATAGCTTGGTTGGTTAATGGTGGCTCATACATCTGATACTGTATGAACCCTTCATCTGCAATGCCGACTGGGTCTCTAAAAGCACTCCCTGGCCTCCTGGACTGTGTCCGGTCGAACCTTTCGATCTTTGGTCAGATCTTGTAATGGCACAAATTACCAATGGTCGTCAACCGGCGCCTTTATGGCGCCCTGATAATTAAAAACAAAACATGATGGTCGTTGGACGAAAGGTGACGCACCAAACGCCAAAAAAACACACTGCCCCTTTTTGGCAGAACAACCCGTTGTCGTGCCAGACCAAGGCAGAAGCCGTTGCTGGACGTCGCTTCGCTGAGTGTGGCAAAACAGGCAGAAGCCGCGCGGCAAAAAAAGGCGTGTTCAACCGTCGGATGCTAAGTTTGCCACTTCATGTCTTGGGGGTTCAAGTGCCAAGTTTGCAAAGTACTGGGAACCCTCACTCTGCCCAAACTCGGGCACCACCCGGCTGAAACCGGTCGAAACCGCCCGAGCATTGGTCCGCGCCTGTCCCACGCGCGGCTTGCGGAGCGCGAGGAGCAACTCCTCTTGGCCCTGCAAGGTCATCGATCAAATCCGGTCGGATGGCCCTGCTGCATGAGGGAAATCCGAAGAACCTCTTTGAAGCCCCCCAAGATGACCTACTTAAGATAGTAGGAAAGAAGTGACACTCTGACGAACACATCACATGTTTTTTTAACCATCCCTCTGTTGGTAGAGGAACATCGTCTTCCAAGGGACCATGTTCATCCATGTTCCACGTAACCATGTGATGTGTTCGTCGCAGATGATTTCTTCGTCGACTCACGGCGACGGCGACAGCAGGTCGACGCACCGTCTGCAGCGCCTCCGGATCGGTCGAAAGTGATGATGCATCCACATCCATGGCAGCAGCATGAGGACAAATGGGTGCCCTTCTTAGCTATAAAGACTATTGATGGGACGGTGGGTCCAAACCCAGGCACCCTGGTTGACCCCTGAAACCTCAACAGAAAGGGGTGTCGACCTAAGATGGTTTGCTGCAGGAGGTGTTTACTCACGACCATGTGCTCACAAAGGCACTTGAAACACCAAGTGTCCAACTTTAGAGCTGTAGCGCTCCGATGAGTGAACATGTGATGGCACAATGTGAACGACTGCTCTTGGCTTGCCATCTGTATTTATATTAAATAAACATATGGAGAAGGTGATCTGAACAATGTCTGCACTATCCTCAAGGTACAGACAGTGTAATGCCTAAAGTACTATCCGAAATGGCAGGATGCGGGCAACGAGCGCCATCGTGAACTCACGGCTTCTGCGGTACAATCAGTACAGTCAGCGGGTACTTATGTAGAATGCAGCTTGTTGGAGCAGGGTGTGAGACAAGCAGTTTGAAGTCCTTCTCAGACTGGACTACTTGTTTGGACCCAAGCTGAAAGCTGAGCCAGGCCAGGCCTCTTCAATGCGATGGCGAACGAGCAAGCGTTTGTTCTTCCACCGCTGACAGTGTAAGAGTCCACAAACACAGTGGGCTTGGACGAGGGAGGGTCCTTCCAACCGGTGCTGATGTCTTGATCTACTGTCCTTTTCGCACGTCGTCATTCGGGGCACTTAGACTTCATCTTTCAACACACGGTCATGAGTGTGGGCAGTCCAAGAAGGATGACATTATATCAAGGCCTGGTTGATCAATCATGATGTCTATCTTCTTCCTTCCCGTCCCACCACCATGCATGCACGTGTGGTCGAATCATATTCCTGGGCATGGTGGCATGATCACTCCCATCCCAAACATGTTACCAACAACTTTTCGGGGAGCTTTCATACAGTGCAAGGATCCGTCAAAAACAACAAACAATACCTCTCGATTGAGTGGACCCTTCTGGGCATGGGCTGGCCTTGGATCCCTCAAATGACAAAAAAAAGATCTTCTTACCTCCACACGTCCTTCTGCAAACAATTACTATATATTAAATGAAAACACCCTTCCAGCATGGTTTTACATCTCCATTTTGTTTTGGGGGGGAGCACAAGCTTTACTAATTAATGAATAAAACAAGTGTACCTGATATGTTTACAGAGTTGGCATGGAACAGCTCCATGAAGAATCTCAGGCTTTTCGTTCAGACTTTGTCATCCAGAATTATACCCTGGGGCTCCTGGCCTACCTCCTGAGAAGGTGCTTGGGGTGGGTGCCAGGGGGTTCCAACTACCTTCTGAGGATGTGGGCCAGAAGCCTTAGGGAGAAATGCTTAGGGGTGTTTACATCTGAAACAATGACATTCAGAAGTAGTGACTCCAACTGTGGCGCTTGAAAAAATAAAAACAAAAACACAAACATCGAAGGTACATGTCTCCCATGCCAGGCTGCACCGTGCATGCCTTGAAGACTGGTACATTGAGACTGGAACCCTCAAGAAAGCTCATCACATGAGACTTGTTCTACTAATAAGAACGAACGCGACAATGGTGTTTTTTTTTCTGTTCCGTAGCGAGAGCAGTTCAGAGTTCACATCTTGTTAGTCGTTCATCATCTTTCTAGGGCTTCCGGGCTTCCCGTCACCCTTCGACTGCCCAGGATGGGACCGCTCCGCCTCCTTCAAAACGGATCTGGCTGAGCATTCCAACCTTACCGGATCTGGCTGTGCCACCGAGGATCTATTGCCCGTGGATGATCGTGAGAGAGTGACGTGAACATGATGAAAAACACTAGTCTGAGCCGCATCCTTGTGGCGTGAATATAGAGGAATTTGTATGCTTGTAAACTTAGCCGCGTCGTTGCTACAAAGACCTTGAGAAACCTTTTTGGTGTGATTTCAAGATATTTAAAGACCACTTTAAAGACCATATATGAGGCTATTGCGTGGGTTCCCCAAACCCTCGAAACCTCGTCTGCGAGTGGAGAGTATTCTAGGAAATTCAGGTGCTGCACCTCCTGCTAACCTCCTTCATCCTGGGAAACCCAACGAACTGCAGTTCTAAGATAGATCTAAGATGATCTAAGCATCCTGTTTATGTGGTAATTATACAGTAAGTATAAGGAAGATGAATAAACCTAGAGCTACAGTCCCTCATACCTGACCAGGTTTTCGACTTGTGCAGCACAATCCTGGGGACACTCCCAAAGCTCCTCGTTTCGCAGCCGAAGACGCGGCGCCCTCCCCGCGGCCGGAGGTCGAACATGACGTCGCAGCCCTTGAGCAACCCGAGGCGTTTGGATTCATCAAAGCAGCGGGAAGAACGATGAAGCCATGAAGAAGCGACATCTGTGACTCACGGGCTTCCCCACTTGTGGTGCATCTTCCAATCAGCCTCCTGAACGAAGTCATTTTAAGCAGCCGGTAGGGGGCGTGACTGGGCGCGAGTGTCATTCTCCACTATTGCGGTCCGATCTGAAACTGATTCCATATTGTGGACGGAAGGACATTGATCTCAACTCAGAACCAATACCCAGATGCTCCATCTATTGGAATATGATCATATGCCTATCATTAGGGTGTTGCCAGGGGGTCTGGCTGGGGCGGCAGACGTCGTCGACCGTGGTACTGACCCCTTGAGGTCGACCAGAAGAGTGAGTTCGTCGACTTGCCAGGTGTCCAGTGTCCATCCACCTTTAGAAGAATGTCCAGTGAAAACCCCTTGCTACTGTCACTGCATTACTTTATATATGCAACTTGTTTTGAGGTTCACAACTCAAGTAGATTGTAAACCTTGGATAATATCAATCGAGCGGCTCTGAACACCTTGATGAAATCCCATGTCGTATCGGCCTGTGCTTACGCCTGTGCTTACGCTGCCTCAACTGGTTTTTCGAATGGCTCAATTGGTTTTAAACACACTTAGACACCTTCACCAGTCTCAGCCCGGCACTCCTGACAGCTTCGGCTGCAGTAGTAGACCGCCTGACGATGGAAGGCGACATACGTGCGACATACCACAACAAACGGATCGCTTCAGGCTGGTTGGGCTATGAAGCTGTCGTCCGGACTTGCTTTGGAAAGTTGGAATGTGGATACTGAAAACAAAACTGAACTGAGAATATGGAACTGGGTGATCATAAAAAGGTGCATAGTCATGCACAGTATACATTCCAGTTGCATGGCTTGACTGGCGGGCGTTTCTTTTCGGTTCTGACGACGACGTCCACCAGACCGCTCAGCTGGGCAGATTCTCAGCACCAAAGCATGGCGACTACCAGTCCTGCGAGGGGGTCATCGGGCTCTACCAATCTTTGTGAGAAAGAACAAACTTTTGACATGCATAATTCGTCTATCGCCCTTAGTAACTTGGAAACCAGTCATGCTTTGAAGCATGGCGTCAAACTTCTTCTTCTTCGTCCCATAGGCCAGCCCAACGGCCCAGCCCAACGCCCGTTCCACGATCCGCCTTGCATCGGCCGCAGCGCTGCAAAGCCTTCTCACCTACGGCGGGTGCAGCGATGCCGGGTGTCAGGTCTCCGGTGGCGTCGGTCGTCTTCAGCGTCTGTACTTGGCTGAACAATTCGCTCCCCTTGGAAAGACGGAGCAAGATTGTTTTGGTAGCATGGAATCGTCCCATTCTTTATGGACGTCCCATTCCGATTCCTTTTCTCCTAGTAGTAGCAAGAAACGGACAGATCGTGCGTTTCTCCCGTTTCCTCCGGAATTTTTTGGGGGCTAAAGCGCCCACCTCTAAACTACCGAGTTCGATCCTGACGTTGGTCCCAACCCTATGGCTGCCGCCGTATGTTCTTTCCTCGGCGCTCCAGGACACCATCACCGCTTCTTGCCCTTCCTGGGCGTGGATGGGAGCGACAGGAAAGGTGTCATTAGTGGAAGGAACACCCACAAAAGGTCTTTATTGTGAGGATTGTCTTTCCCATGCAGGGATCAATAGACAAACATGGTCAAGATGGAGGCTTCGGCACAAAAAGAATTACTCTGGCTCAAGAAATGATCAGGTTGGCGAGGGGTATACCACTTCATGTCTATTCGCACTAGCCTTGGCTAATCTACGATCAGCTAGTAAGCCCACAAAACATCCGCTTCACTCGGTCTCCTTCAACTTGTAGGATTAAAGATCCGAGAAACACGTATTATACTCTGGGGAAATGAGATAGGAGCCCAGCAAATCCCTATGTCATCAGCCCTGAGTGTATACATTCAACAGAAATATTGAAACACTGTGAAATGAGAATGACTCACCGGCCACAAGGGTCTGGTTGTTGCCCTAAACATCTTTCTGACGCAAGCGATGTGGGCCCCCGTGATGCACAGAAGGCGAAGAAGAACACCAACGCTGCCAAACCCGGCCGATCGCCGATGGCTGCGCGCGGCCGACGTGAAATTCCAAGCGTCTTGCTCGCGGCCTTGTCACCAATTTTCAAAGCAGCCAGGAAAAGCTCCTCCCGATTGGGGGTCCGATCCGCGGGATGGGTATTGCTTGGGAAAAAGTGACCGATCAAAACGACATGCATGCCATAATTCACCCACACTTTCACTCACCTGCTGAAGAATCGTCTTCTTGACCATTTTGACGAGAGCCAAGGCGACAAAAAGAGAGCCAAAAAACGGTCACACACTTTCGGCGAGGTCGCACGTCCTCCACACCCAAATGGCGACAGCGTGCGGAGAACTCGGACATCCTAAGACGTCGAATGACAACGACCCGGTCGTTTTGTTGTTGTTTTGTTTTTGGAAACTGCAAGGTCTCACGATATCCAAATCCCCCGAAATCGGTTAGTGGCCAAGCTGAAGATAAACACTGCTATGTAATTTTAAACATCAATCACTCTCAATCAAATTGAAATTGGTAGGTCCAGCTGTTACACTTCTGCAAGAACCGACACTTCACCAGCTTCTAGCACTGCGAGATTGATATAGCCCGAGATTACTCCCAAGATTCACACACAATCATGGCCTCACATCCACCTCTTTCAATAAACAAAGGACGAGGCAAGAAAGGCTGTGACCCACTCTCGGATAGACAGGTCCTGTCCTACTGCAGAGTTGCTTCGCAAACCCTCCGTTCAGAGGCTCATGGCTTTAAACTGTGCTAAAGCGACTCGCACATGCGTTTTTTCAAGGCTATACAAATAGAATTAAGAAGCAGTCTTGAATCAGTCTCACTGCTCGTGTACCACCCCAAGCATCGGATCATGCATTCACGACTGGAAGATGTCATTTTCAATGGCTGATTTGGGAAGGGCCCTGGAAGGAATCAATCCGTGCAAAAAACATCAAAACATTCTGATCAACAGCAAATTTAAAGCTGCTCTATAAGTGAGCCCTTTCAGTTCCTGCTCGTCGACCAAGCATCCCATCTGGTGGAAACTCCTCCAAGGGCACCGGCAGCACACGCAGGGAGTCCAAAGGCATCCCATCCAGCTCGATCATTTGCCTCACAACTCCCAGGAGCTGATCCGCCCAGCCCGCGGAACGGTCACCGCGAAAGCGAAAGCCTCCGGTCATTGGCGACGAACGCTCCGGTCACCAGGCGAGCTGTTCAAGCCGGCGCTGCCGTGCGAGTGTTCGGTGCAGGTCTCAGTGGGTTTGGGAACCGAGAGAAAAGAAAGCAAACACAAATCAAACAATGCGATTTTCTCTTTTTCTTTTTTTGTTTTCTTTCTGGGTTTTTCTTTTCTGATTTGCTTTTGTTTTTTCTTGTTCTTTTTTTTCCAAAAAATGGCGGAACATGGATAAGGACTTGCAACAATGATGGTCACCCCAAAAGAACAGTGTGAGGCTGGCTGACGTGAGTGTTGACCATGTTCCCTTGTGCATCCGCCAGACTCACGACAAACTCATTGCCGTGGTGCAAACCCATTTGTATACCCACCATGGAACCATCGGTGTATTGGTAGTACAGGCAGCACATTCAGGGGGACAACCCTCCTTACACTTTCAAACTATTGGGAGGTTCATGCGAAAGTATGCCGCCATCACGCGAAACCTGACATTTGTTTGCTCACTTGGCCGCTGCCTAAAAATGGGTTTTGATTTGGTTTGATCATAGGTGCATATTGAATGTGATTCATGCGAGACACCGCGAACATTTTTTGCATGATATTGCATGAACTTGTATAGAGGCTATTCCCAATACCCATCCTACCATACCCGCTCGTAAAGGTAAGATGTGCGTAGGAAACAACATCATGGCCAAAAGTGATCCCAAAACCATGGCAGGTTGAAATGTTGTGTGGTCCATCCAATTTGTTTATTTCGCAAGTCGGGTGCCATGATGCAAGTGATTGATTATTGAATAGACTATTATTTTAGTAAAAATGGCAGCATTGCAGGTTCGGCGAGATGCGGCAGGACAAGGTTGATTTTGGTGTGGAAAATCTTACAAAAATATCAATCAATTAACACGATCAAATAACCAAAAGGTGACCCCAAGGACCTGTTGTTTGTCAGATCTTCGGGCAAAAATCAGACGCCGTTCTTTCAAACAAGACGATCCAATGGTTCCAATTGGATTTGTCCAACACGTGTTTTAGACTAAAACGGTTCGCATTCCCATTGCAAACAACCTATTGTTGCGAACTGATGTAAAACGGTTGCCTTCGATGGGAAAAAAAACTCTCTAATGTATGATGCAGGGCCCTTCTTCAACCCATGGTGGCGACAAACGACCCCAGTGACCCAGTGACCTCTTTATCTGAAAATGACTGCCTACACAAGCATGATACCGTATAAACATTTGCGACATAACAACGGGCTTTGTTGGTGGACAAATTTCACAACATAACCATGCATGCTGTGCGTTGTGAACGATCACAACTGAAATCATCCAATGTTCCATGATCAATTCAATCAACCTTCGCATTGACCCAGCCGCGCAACAATACAGTCCTAGCTTCCAAGGCCTTACCTCCAGCCGAGACATGCTTAGTGAAACGCTCGTTGCAGGAAACATGTTTGGTTAGGTGTCGTTGGGTCAGCAGGCGCCAGCCCCACATGAGGTATACATGTCCAAAAGATCAGAGGAACAAAGCACAGTGGTGGTGACAACCACAGGATGTATCCTGCACCCTGGGGTGATCTTTACATCGCTTGGTGGCCCACAATCAAGAGACCGCGGGGTCATCACACCAACGTCTCCCCCACCAAGAAATTAAGACCGGCTCAAGGCTCGGCACGCACCCTGGCCTTCTTTGGACAAAAGCCAAGACTTGGGGGTGGAAGGACAGCCGCAACTGCCACACCCACACGGGGCGGGCGGGCGAGGTCAAAGTTTTGTTGCAGGATGCCTGTCAGCAAACATCTGTTCAAAGCAACAGCCTCACAAGGGTTGCAAAAAAGTCTGAGTTGCATCATCCAGCTCGGCTCTCAGTCCATCTATACATACAGGCTCCTATTATATTTCAAGGCCGTGACCGACTAAGCAACCCAATCTTGCTTGCGTTGCCCATCCCACATGAATTCCTGAATCGTCTGGCTTGCCGTGGGCAACCAAGCTGGCTCATGCTCATTGGTATAGTGGTTCGGATTCCTTCTAACCGGGTGAGGACTGCAGGACGTGACCTGAGCACAACCATCCTTTTTGTCCTTCATCAATCACCGGGCACGTGTATGCACCCAGCAACACGTTTCCGCTGTGTTGATGAACGTTCGTATGCAGAAACCATGGTCCAACCCTGTACAGCTTTACACGGTTCCAGTGTTCCGCCAAGTAGCTTGGAATAGGGTGATCTAAGTGAGCTAGCCGGGTCTCTTAGCGGGTATACAGTACATGCAGTATTTTTACAACCAATGGAGCTCAACAGAACACACAGCTGCCCAGCATGTTGCTTTAGAAGAGCATTTAAACAGCTGTCTATCCGCATGCCGCGCTCCCCCGAAACAGTCAGCCCTTCGACTCTATCAGTCACAAAGTACTCTGCTCGCACCACGAAGTGCTTCCAGCGCAAACGGCTCAAGGCTTCAACATAGGCCTTGGTGAGAAGCCGTAGAGGCTTCCAACGAATAGTGGTCCCCCGGCACAGTTTCCAATACATGTTTAGTGGGGGGATATACTTTTCTATCTATTCGGGTGTCTATACAATGAAGTTACCTAATGCCGCATATATGCGCCAGAAATTCCACAAAGACCTTATGCTGCATGCTTTGATAGACAAACATCAGTCTGTTGCTGGTGGCAGGTCCAGGAGGTTGATGAGATGGGCTTTCTAGCTTTGGGTGTTGAGAAAGTAGTCGTTGAAGTCATCTCCCCCAACAACACAATACAGTACTTGGCTAGTTGGGTGGTTTGTAGGGAACATGCACCTTGGTGAAGAGACTGTAAATTCGCACAAGTGATCCCCAAGAGGCATGTCTTCTCACATTCTGTTCTGACAAACTTCCTGACCCATAAACTGACACTTGGTGTGACATGTAAAATGACATTTGTTCTGTTCACGCATGTATTCTAACATCTATTCTGATACCAAGTCTTGCGCGTGTTGTGAGGTGGGTTTCGGCAGGATGCATGCAAGAACGATGACAGGACTTTGTAGCCGGAATGCACGCCAAAGCACAGTCTAACATTTGTTCTGTCATGTACTCTGAGATCAAGTCTTCTATGTGTTCTGACATTCGTCCCGACACTAAGTTCGTGAACATGGAAGTGGAAAAGCCGCTGTTTGTAGAAGGAAGGAGTCTTCTCACCAGCTATGCTCCACTTCCCACGGTGTGTTTATCTGGTGTCTTTTTTTTCTTGTTGAATTAGAATCTTCCTGTTGCAAAACCAACCTTGGGCTTCCTGTGTTCTTAGACGCGCACACACACACACACACACATGAATCCGAGCCAAGTTCAAACCAAGAAGGGTGCTTTTGTTCTTGCGCAATGCATGCGGATTGAATTGAACCCAGAGGAACACTCACTGGGGTGAGTTCACATCGACGGTTTCTTCGAACACTTCACAAGAAATCCATGCAGCTCCATACAACTTCAAACCAGTCGTCATACAGTGGTCATAGGGTGTGAATTCAGTCCATACCACTTCATAAATGAACCCACTGAATTCAATGGCAGTTCCGCTATCCCAAACGCACTGGGTCTCATGGCGTGGTCTCGTCCGTGCGGCGAAGACACGCGCACGGGGGCCGAAGTGCGGCACGGCCACGGACACGGTCAAAGCACACTGTCAGATTTGGTCAACACTGATGGTGAAAACAAGAGAATCCACTTACATGGTTGAACACTGGCAAGTGAATCCAAGTGACACGCAAAAGGCAGGTTGAAAGATCTTCCGAGCTAAACACGTTGTTCCTTTAACGTATGTTCTAGACTATGTATGATTACATGTTGTTTCAATTTGGTCCTGGTTTCACATCCCTCACCGCCCAGCAGCCACGACATTGGGCTCTTCACCCTCCACGATGATCACACCGGGCCAGCCCACCTGGGAGACTTTCGTGGCGCTGTGGGGCCCCTCCGAGGGCGCATGGGGATATCTATGCCTAGCTATGCGCGTGCTATGCGTATAGCCATGCGTATAGCCATGCGTATATGGCCATATGTGTATTGCTATGCGAATAGCGATGCATAGCTGAATGGCGGTTCGGTCCATTCACTCGCTGGAAAGCATGTCGTGACCTACACTGAGCAGGGAGGATCTTCAATGACACGTCATATCACTCAAATCACATCTAAGGTCGCAGGATGACTTGGACATGTCCAAGTATCATCTATAGGGGGAAGCCTCCAAAAATATAAATTGTGTTGTCCACGCTTTGTAGAAAATGCATGATGAAGCTATGCATATCTCGTCAAATCACAGCCACCTTCGTACTCCTGACTACCGTATACTCCCTTTCCTCTTAAGGTTGGTGGAGCAAGGGCAGTTATCTACTGCAACATTTCAACATCTTCTATGGGTCTTTGGCAATCAAAACAATGATTGCCAACTGTATCTGGGCAAATATCAAGGTGTCTGGAGAGAAGTCCACAACAAGCTTCAGTCAAATGGTACTGGTTTGGGCAAGTGATGAAAGGTGTCTCTTCCGTTGGCCACAGTGTAATGTTGGGAGGCAACATCCAAAAGGATATCAAACAATATATATATATATATGTGCGGAAGTAACGTGTCAGTGAAGTTCTTCGTGGTCCGACTAGGAAAGTATAAAGATCATGGAACACGACAAAGAAATGAACTGATCTATACACCAACAAACTGTAGTTCATGCAGGTGACTTTCAGCCAAACACCCAGAAAATGAAACAAACATAGATCCACAAGTTCCATCAAGTCCGCAAATGTGTTCTCAAAGTAGGGAGTAGAAGGACCCCCCAAAAATGTTTTGGTTCTTTGCGAGACTCACCGGCCAAACCACTGCTTCGACTCCAAGCTGCTTTGGCCATTCCGCCCAGCTGCAACTGTGCTGCCCAGTCTTTGATCCTCAACACCCGGCTGTGTTCGGCGGAATGAAATCATTTTACATGACTACCATGCAAACGACTAGCATATGCGGAGCATGCGCTGAACTAGCCCTTCGACCCAACCTTCCTTTTCAATCCAACTCCCTTCTAAACTGAGCTGCAACATGCTACATCGCGACTTGCGGCCTGAAACAAAAGCAAATCGGTGGCTCGCCCTCGCCTTGCCAGGGTTCGTAGCCACTTATTCGTGCAACAATCCATGCATGAAATATGTTCCCTCGTTTGGTGAGGTGTCTTTGAGTCAATGAAGATGAAACATGACTAATTCCATACCTGGATGGTTTGGACATATCCCATTTTACAACCACACACCAACAAATTCAAATTCACCGTTGAAACTGCATTTCAAACCAAAAAACATTGGAATTTCATCACATCACTTGCGATGACAGCATTGAAATGTGAAAAATGTGCACATTGATAGGGGGTTTGCATCTTTCATGCGCGCACTGTTTCCCAGATTTGGATGGTGCTGGGCAACTGGGTCAACATTTGTTCAACCCCTTCTTCTTCACAATCATTCATTGGTTCACCTGGAACCGTCTGAGTTTTCTCTTTGAACACATGTCACATTCGTTTCCTCCAAGTTGCGCCTGTTCTCTTGAAGAATTGGCAAGCTCTTAACAACTAAGACTAATGTGCGTATGTTTCCCTCATCTCTCTACCAACGCAACCGCCAATATTGGACACCAAAATCTATTAAGTTCAACTTGCTCTGAAACCAAGACCCACATTTAATAGGCACTTCCCATGAAATGGTCATCTTCCAATCCTCCAATAGAAGCAAGTCAGGGCCCACATTAACCAAATGTTTCGCGGCCGCGACCAAGAACTTCCTTCATCCAAGTGTCACTTGTCGCTTCCCCGGAGCGATGATGTGGTGGGAGAACATCGCCCGCCGTCCCAGAGCGCCACGCGCTCGCAGCACGCGGGTGCATGGCGGAGCTAAGGTGGGCACCTGGCTCGGAGCTTCGCCAAGGTCAGTTATAAAGCAGGTGCTTTTGCACTGTCAACTGATGCGTGCTGCACAACCACTATAGTCACTATACCACAATAGAATGCCGCACGACATCGTGGCAATGCAATGTTTCCGCATATTGAGCGGTCCAAGCGTCCCTTCGGAGACACAGGGTTGCATGTGACCAGCAGTGTTGCAAGGGAAAGTCCTGCTACAGCGGGGCTGCCCTAGAACTCCTGCACGTCTGAAGATGGCTCAGCTAGGTGTCCTTCTATTGCTGGGTGGATGAGCTGCTCTCGTCACAGGCTGAAAAAGGCTTTCAGGGGTCTTGTAGCATGATGCTTGTCCATGCACGCGTGAAACAAGTAGGTGCCGTGGATACAACCTGTAGATTTCACATCCTCATCCTCATCCACCTCCACCTCCGCCCCATCTCATCTTTCAAGGATTGCGAAAGCACGTGGCAAGCAAAATGTTTCCTATAGGTTTATGTTTGAAACTTCCGCCAAAAAGAGAAACTTCCGAGTTACGGAACACAGCGCACCTGGTGCGCAAAGCCTCATCCCCAGTGGTCAGGACCAAAGCAGTACCGGTTCCGCTGATACTCTACACTTGGTGGATCAAAGCTTTTAATCTATGAAGACAACACAAATCCAGAGGGTTGCAAGGTGAACCAAAACCGCTGAACTCGAGAGGAGTTGATACCTACTATACTTTCAGCCCTTGTCGATTCTGATTCCTATCTCTATCTCCGCAGAGCGCTCCTTAAGTTTGAACCTAAACCTTAACTTTGATGCGAGACCGAAACTGAACCGAAACTGAACCTTGTGTTTCAGTGGGCGGATGAATTCCCCCACAGTCGGCATAGAACATGCCCCAGAGACCCTCGAATCCTGGAACATCAAACTGGCACCAGCCTCGAGACGGGAAGAGACGGGCCTTGTTGAAAGGAACACCCCGCCCCTCGCCTTCGGCCCATGACAGAATTTGGAACTTGTACATATATATATATATATTTTTTTTTTTTTTTTGAAGGTCTTCTGGAATCCATAGTAACTCGCTTGATGACTTGCAATACATTTTGGAAGGGGACTCACAGTGATGCCACTGGGCATTAAAGTAAAACACCAGCTCTGTGGTCTCTGCTTCGGGATGCGGGCTTCATGCGGGGTGCACAACGTGAGATCTCCGGTCCGATCCTCTCTTGCTTGGTTTTCGGTGAGAAACACCTACCCTGTGTCCTAGTTAGGGAGAGTTTGAGAGGCCTTATATCAACCTACCAGATTGCTCTGCTGCCGAAACGATCGACGAACATCGGACGATGACCATGGCATCTGAACACATCGGGACGGCGTCCCAGGGGGTGGATGGAGTCGGACGAGCGTCGCATCTCAAAAGGGTGTTCCATTTTGAGCGGCATTGGATGAATCATGTGAGGATTTCACTGAACCGTGGTGGGAAATCAAAAACACTGCACATCCAAAACACACACACAATTTGGACATTTGGACTGAGCTGTTGATTGCTTGCGTAAAGATAATATAGTAATTCAATGTCATGCACCATCAACACCTTCGATCGATATACAGTAACAGTCACCTGCAACAAGTCACAAGAGAAAGCTAGGTGGACAACAACAACACACACACATATATATATATATATATTACATGCATATGGGCCCTTAGTAGCCTTGATATTGGTGATTAGTCGACCTTTTCGCTTCGTGCTGGTATCGGGTTTAGGTAGTCGTTGATCTATCCGTTGGGCCACCACTAAGTAGCTCCTTCTTAAGGGACCCACTAAGGATCTTAAAGGACCCAAACGGCGGGCCGCCGACAGCTCCAAGCCATTCGGCGGGCCGCCAGTCTCCACCCGACCCGTCTCCACCCGGAAAAAAACACATGCTACCAACGTGTCTGAGAAAGGCTACCTGCTACCGCTGCATACCCGTGGGCTTTAAACATGGGTGAGTTGGTGAAAGACATTCGGTGCCTGTGATACACGTCCCGTGGACCATTTTCCCGGTGATTCGTGCACGACGACTGGTTCATCCCCCCGAGCCAAAGGACCGTGGCCCAGTCTTCCGCCAGTCGTGTGTCCGTCCAAACCAGGTCCATTGGTTCAACCCAACTGTTGGAAGACGTCCTTTACCGGAGATGGTGAAGGGTTGGCCCCTGTAACAAAGCGTGTTGGCACTTCCATCCATCGGTGGTACATCAAGACGTTTCCATCAATGAATCAAGCCAAGGCAAGACATTGCAACAAATCAAGCCGCTCCAACAGCCAGCCAACCATGAGGCAATTCAATCTTAGATGAACCAAACATGAACCAAACGTCTCATGCTCCCAGCCAGCCAAAGCAATTCAGCCTAGCGTTGGCACCTCCTCTTGTTCCTCCAACTCCTCTTGAACCGCCATGGCCTTAAAAAGGAAGTTGTCCACATCGAGCAAAATTGGCCAAGATCTTTTACATTTCTTCAGACCAAAATGAGTCACCACAGGCACACCAAAAGAATACTAGTATATATAGTACTGAGCTGATGAAACCCTGGTTGGGTAAGTTTGGACTCTGGAAGCTGTCTACAGAACGATGTGGAATCGTCGCCACGAGTACCAATGCAACTTTCACTTGAACCTCTGATCTGATCGAAGGTGGCAAAAGGTAGAGGGAGACAACAAAATAGCACCCGTCATCATCTGATATAATCTGTCTATTATAAGAATGCATGATGGTGTTCATGTTCCATGTTTATGGACAAAAACACATGCACGCTTCTGCAACTTTAGGCAAAACAAGGCGTCAGTCCTTCTTTGAACGTAAAATCGTGCAAAATCCACAGCTCTACTTGTTAACTCTGACAAAACATGTTGTTCTTCACCCCGGTGTTACATGTGAAACCCTATCTGTGAGGTGTGAATTGCCCAATTCCACCCTCGGATCAGTGAGTGATGGGCTCTTTGGATGTAGGACATGCCATGCCAGCTGTTCATCGCGGAACCGAAGATCCCAGATACCGAAGACCCTGCTGGCTGACAAAGGCACCACCGCCAGGTCGTCTGCCCAGGTACGGATGAGCTCCTGGAGAAGGTGAAAAACTGTCGACATGCTGCTGTGGTAAGGGTATTGGTATGGGTCAATCATCTTCGGATTTGGAAAAGCAAAAGAACTCAACCAACTGCAGTTCTCTTATATATCTCATCTCATGATTCACTGGATCTAGAATCTAGCAGAGCCCCAACGCAATCATAAGGTGCGGAAGTCCTCTTGCTTGCTGCACGAATCCATGTCTTTGGAGAGATTTATATATACCCTGGGAGTCAAAGACTATACAAAGAATGGTCTTTAGGGGACCTGAAAGGGAACATCCTTTAATTCAGACGGGCAATATATAGTCTTTGGACTTCTAGGGTGTATATATATATATATGGGATATTCCAACCAGCGGAGATCGCTGTCTTCGCTTGCTCCCCCAGAGACGTTACGTGACGTTACGTGACGGTGTTGTTTTCTCGTGACGGCTAGTGGTCGGAAGGAAAGAGTGAAATTGGGCGGTTGAAATAGGAAGAACCCATAAAGACGCCAAGGAAGAGGATTGTGTGAGCTTACACATGCTTAAACCTAATGTGGTTGCTTGCAAAGTCTATCGATTAATATCTATTAGATATATTCTAATCCACAACCAGTTCAGGGAGACTCAAAGTCCTACACACACAGATCCAAACGTGGGAATCATGGGAACAAACCATGAGAACCCTGTCGATGCGGTTCTACGATTCGATGTCCACTGGATCCTGTGGATTAGTATGTCCTGTCCTCTGATTGGATTCTACTCATCAACAGATTGAGACCCAAAGCCTCCCAGGTCTCTTGTTCTACACCGTGAAAACCGTTCGTTCGACGTGAAACCGGTCACCGAGGACTCCGACCTTCCACCGGTCACCGGCTTCCGCGTTCCCCGAGCGCCGAGGCCGCGAGGTCTCCGACCGATCCGGTGCGACAGGGACCTCCCCGCGAGCGGTCTCGAAGGCACCGCGAGCGAGCGTTAAGCACGGAGCGAACACCGGGTTTCGCAGATCGAGGTCGACCAGGTCGGCCGAAATGAAGTGGGAGATTCTATGTCCGACCGCGGTGCCCAGGTGGTTTGTTTCAAGCGATTCAATCTGTGACGGCTGAAAGAGACGACCCCCATCCGCAAGCTATCGTTCGTCCAGCCTCGCGCGTTGGGAATACCAGACTCCGATGGAACAAAGCAACCTCTGAACAAATTACAACACATGACCAAAACGAAGGGAACCAATCGTCCAACAGTCAGTTTCAACAACACAACTGGCCCGGAAACGGAACCGTGTCCACCGTCTGTCCAGCGTGTGACACCGTCTGACCGTCAACTCGCCCGGTGAAACGCCACGACCGACCTGAACGGGACGAAGTGAGCTCCTCAGCTGTCTGGATCAGCGGCAACAAACATTCCTCGCCCTTCCTCAGCCGAACCGCGCCTTTCAGTCGACCCTAAGGACTGGGGCAGGTGGGTTTTTAGTGAGGTGGAGAGGTTATGGTCGTATGAATATATGTACAATGATTGTACATGTATAATTATCCTGCGATTCAAAGACTATCAAACAAATTGTCTTTAGGTGACCCGAACAGGAATGTCCTGTACTTCAGTCGGTCAAAATATAGTCTTTGGATTTTTAGGTATTTTGTAATATTATGTATATACATGTATATAATTACATAAACATAATACCTATATAACAAAAACTCCAGTAAACAACTAATTAGTAGATAATGTTACTCTGTTTGAAGAACATAGCTTGGAATACATCCTAGGCCCTAGACATACGGTATAACTTATAAACGTGTAGGAACCCGCACGGGTTCAAAACAACAACTACTGACTAGAGTTATTTGACCGGGATATATTATACTTTTGACCGGGATATGTCTATATATATATATATATAGAGTACTATACATTATTATTCATGAGATGTGATTTTCAGGCCGGTCACAGTTCTCCCAGGTACTCAGTGGCACTCAGCAATGGCACTCAGTGGCCCCTGATCCCAGCAGAAGACCATGCCCCCTGTTCCATCGCCGAAGACCATGAAAGCAGAAGAGGAAGACGGTCTGGGTCGATCCAATTCATGTTGTTCATCACAGAAAAGGAAGAAAACAAACGAGAAACAACTTCACAAATGCCTCCAACAGATCTGATCCAAAAACAAATCTGGGAGATTCTGTCTGTCGAAGCGTCTTCAACTCACACCTACGGAGATCTGCCCCTCCTCCTTAAAACATAAAAAACACATGATCACACGAGGTTTGGACCCAGAAAGGAACAACCTGGGATCACCGGTTGTTGGTCACCGGGACGACCAGTGACGACCCATGCTGCCCTTCCATCCACGACCAGCTGGACCAGCCCAGCCCAGGAGGAGGACCTTCTACGTCACCGTTGCGGTCGACCAACGTTGCCAGGTCACTGGCCCCAGTGGAGGGCCGCTTCTTGCAATCGTTGGCCTGAAGGTGGGAAGGTCTGGAAGGTCTGCAGTTCTGCAGGGTGCAACCCAGACCGGACCTGGCCATATATGACTCCCAAAAAACAGCCAGGAAGGGTGGTTGGCTGGCAAATCTGGGGTCTGAATCTGGGGCGGCCAGGAATTCCAGTCGCATGGAGTGCCTGGACATCCCACGGAGCCATGGTTGGTCTTTTTCACTGTGGAGCCATCCCACGGATAGAGACCAGGATTTTGGTGGCGATCCGATCTGGTTTTCTCGATTTGGGTCCGGAGCTTGGATGGAACATGATCTATTATACTCTGTACCGCACAGGGGTTGGAATGCTATGTACAGCGAGGTAAAGAGAAGCCAAGGCATCCCCTAGTTCGCAAAACCCAAATATATACCTCCCTCCATACGTATATGTATGACGTTTCGATTTATTTCCAGACCTGCTGCACCTGCCAGGGCCGTGATGGATGAGGAGTGGGTGACAAATCCAGATTGGTTTTGATATTGTAGCGAGTCTCCCAAGTGGTGTAGAGCGGGGGGTGACCCCTTTTACATCCTTTAAGGCTGAAAACACATACATCGGAACCGACGATGCATCGACGACCTGCCGTCCGGACGAGGTTTTCTGGTTCGGTCGACCCAGTGGCCGAGATGATCATCGTCAGCGACTTGCAGGAAGCGCGAGGAGGTCGAGGCCTCCGAAAAAGGTCAGGACGACCGGTGAGAAGGACGGACGGCCTCAACTTTTTGGCGGTGTTGTAGAGCATGGTTCCTGCCCTCGCGGTTGTAGCCTCCCTGAAAGAATCATGGTTGCATGGAATACAGCCTGGTTATATCGTCTTCCACAGGGCCATGTTCCACTTCCATGCTTGTTGGATGGTATATTCATGAACCTCAAAGCCCTCAGGAAAACCGGGGCTTCATCCAGCGACCGTGCGGGCAAGCTGGCCCCGAAGGCCGAGCGGTTGGGCTTCGTCTTCCCCGCAGAGCTTCGTGCGGCGCTCCTCACGGAGCCGCAAGTTCATGGCCGTTCCATATCTGGGAAGGTTTGATCTGGGATGTCCCAATTCAGTGCAAGTAACGAAACCTCCAGCCCCATGAGGCGTGGAGTCCCAACCAAGCAGTACAATGCTGGCAGCTGTTCCCTTGCACGCTAATATGGTGCAAGATCTCATGACCATATTGAACAAACACATTCACTAGCTTACAAGTCGGGGGACATCATGTTCTCTCATCGTACTATAGCTCTATAGAGGATGAAAATGAACACCTGTTCTTTAATTTACACATTAGTTGTTTTGCGGCTCATGGTCCTAGTAGATGTTCCATGGTGGTCCTAGTTGCCAGACTGGCAAGCAAACTTTTGCAGTTTCTACACAAGTATGGTGTCTTAACTGTTTTCCAATGCCTATAGAGGTCAATGCAAAATCATACAACAACACACTAAAAACAAGGATGATATAAATCGTATAAATGACCACAGGTGGTTTTATTTATTGCATAGAACCAGTGGTTTTAGTCCGACCGGACTTAATAGTGGTTTACTGGTGGACCTTTGAAAAACGCAAACGTTTTTGCCCCGACACTCCGCCAGCCTCCACTTCGGGCTCCAACCACCTGGGTGGTAATGAACAGAATTCAGCGACCGACCGGGGCTCCAACCATCACGTGCCGGATGCGACACCATGTGCTTCGACGATTTCTATGTTCGGATTGTTTGCTTTTTTACCTCCTATTGTATATATCTGGCGTTTCTGGATAAAATGATGTGTTCTTTTCCCTCGGTGCCAACCGAGGAAACACACGTGAGCCGAAACGCACGACCGCCGCCGAGCCGACTGTAACCTCGTAGTTACGTCAAAGACCGAGAATGATCCTTTGCCAGGTGGCACCATCGGTGCGGCTGTGGTCGGATATCCATGCGGCAGCACCGCCGCCAGGCGCACCGAGCCCGCAGCCACCGCGTCGTCCGTGAAGACGCGCACAGAGAGGGACAGCGCCGGAAGCCGAGACAGCGACGCCTGCGGCAGAAGACTCACTGCTGGTCCGTGTGGAAGAATGGGAGCATTCCGGCATAAGGAGGTCTTGCACCAGTGACAAAGGCGACTAAGTCCGATAGCCTATAATTAAGAAACACCATATATTATGCTCCATGATGATAAAAGCATTCGACCACCCCATGCTGAGACCACTCTGTAAACTGCCACACCACGAGTCGCAGTGAGAGGCCTGCCGCGAGGTCCGCAGGAGTCGCAGAGGTGGGTTTGTTGATGGCAAGGAATTGGACGTATAGGTATAGTCTGTGTTCACTCGGACACCAACATGCAGAATCCTGCCAAGTTGCGGCACCTTCTCAAAGGGTGACATCGAACAGATCCCTTGCTACCACCAAAAGGTGCTTGACATGGAGCGCTCCCGCAGATCACCCCAGATCTGTCCCGATCCGCACATCATCCCGCATCCGCCTCCACGTCTTTCGCTGCGGCACCCAGCGCTTCGAGCGCCTCCTCGTCCACACGCAAGTCACCCTCCTGACTGAGCCGATTTCCATCGGTGGCGCGGCAGACAGGAATGATTCGGAATGACAGGTGTTTTCTGGGTGTCCAATGATGTCGAGTCTCAAACTCCTACCAAAAAAGAACCCAACACTCTGAAAGAAGTTGTCTTATAGGGACATTAGAACAATACAGCATATATCCCTATTAAATCAAGAGCTCCAATTTTATAGTATATGATTGAACTCATCAGAAGCTTTTTAAACCGTTCCAAACTCATCAGAGTCCGAGGCCTCGCAATAGATGGCGCTGAGACTTTCCATCTCCAATAACTGCCGCGAAAGCCACGTGTCGTCCATGGCTGCGAGGGGCTGAGTACGCGGGTTGATTCGTAGTCCGTAGTGGTTTTTGTTTGTTGCGTACCTCTTCAAGTTTTCTTCTGCGTGGGGTGGATATAGTTGCCCCAAGAGGCAGTTATAATAAGGTATAGGATTGGGCAAGTAGTACATTGGGCAAGGATTTCTCTTATCTGTTTCATACATGCTTCCGTTTCTGAGCCAACCACTTTTGACTAGTCGTTCGGCGTTCTATACCGACCTGTGCCCCATTTCATGGGTGTGGTGTGCATCTTATCCAACCTGAGGATATCATCGAACATGGCCATACTTGACCACTGCAAGATATATCGCAAGATCATGCAAGAATATGCAAGAGTTCTCTATGATACTTGCTGCATTTGATTGTACAACTATGGGGACTGTGTCAAGGAGTGAGTGAAGGCTGCGATGATACTACGGTACCAGTTGGCGACAAACATATAAGGAACGAGAAATGCAACTAAATCTCCTAATGCCTGATACTCACGAGATTTGTGGATTCTCAAACCTGGCTATTTCCCAAACTGAACTATTCCATCGACTTCGGAAACAAGTCTGCAATTTTAGCGAGTTCCTGCAGGGTGTTCTGTACACAAACGTCCAAACGTCCCTTTTACACAAACACCCTGCAAATCCCCGCAAAGTGTGATAGTCGAAGTGTTCACTCCAAGAAAAAAGACTGCAAAATCCGGCTGGGCTTGTGCGGACTCATTGTCCATTTAGTCCAAAAAGAGCAGGTGAAAAAAAATTCCCAAGAATCAAAGACTTGTACCGGACCCTGTTAAATGTATGAGGGAGCCGTGTAAGGAAATGGAAAGAATTGGAAAGACAATCACCCTTGGATCTAAACCGGAGGCCAGTCATCTTTGGTCAGGTCAACTTGACATGTAAACAGACACAAAGGCCTCCGACAACACTTCTCGGCGCCGTCCGCGGGATCGCCTTTGCTAAAGCATCGGTCGCAGCGATCGCCGCGGTACCGCTCCTCGAGAAGAGCTTGGGGAGCGAAGATAGCGCCAGGGGCGTTTGGGCGTTTGGAGTCATCATCCGGTTGAAGTGATGAAAAGGTCTTTCTTTTGACTGACTCATGTTCATGAATTTGGTCAGAAAGAAACTCCGGTTTGCTGAACTTGACAACTGGGGAGATACATTGCGGGTAAAGCACCTTGTCTTCCGAGGTGTCCGGTGCGTTCTCAACTGCCCTTGAAAAGCCGAAGGACAGACTTATTCACACCCCTGGTCGTACCCATAACCGCATCAGGTCTCCAACATGAGATCAGGAAAACTCCAAATCTTCCTAAGGGTCCAGAAGAGGAGACGATTGGATTAGTGTTTGGTCTGTTGTTTGTCCACCCTTTCTAGGGTGAGTTGCATCCACAGGGTGCTTCCAAGTGCCATCCCGGGTTCCTGGTCATTGAAGGCACCACGGACGGGCAGTTGTTTGGAACCCTTCCACGTAGTTTTTCTTGTTTTCAATTAGCTGAGAATTTATGTATCTGTGCATATTCCTTGCAACAGAGGTTTAACTGACAATTGTCGCCCTTCCTGTCTACCCTACAGGGCAATTAAGCTCAGTGACTGCTTTAGATCCTGATGGAATGGTAGGTTCTGCACACTTCAACAAATGGCTCTATAGGCACCACTTGGGGGTGTCAAGAAAGATGGGTTTACGAGAAGATGTGGCTGATTTGTTCGACAACATAGCAAGAGTGGTTTCTTTCTTCTAGCACACTGTAAACACATCGCTCATGTGTCATCCAATAACCAATATAATATATGAGGCATTTGTGCTTCGGTCTTGGCTTGACTGGATCGTTTGCTCAGCTCTGCACATGGAGGATGGCTGCCAATGGCGGTGCACGCCATACCACCTGGTGAGCACCAAGTCATTGCGTGTCGTGCCACACGTTGATAGCTTCGACATGTTTCGACCCTCAAAAGGAAACGATCTTGGACATCCGGTATGTATATACATCAACTCCTTGTGATCGTGAGCCACCAACTTCTTGAGAACTCTATCTCCCTCTATGTCAGCACACAAACCATTTGTATAGAACTTTCAAGTGTCTCTGTTGAGATGTTCATCTGAGACACTCATTGAATGCTCCAATTGATCTGGGAACTCTAGTCAAGGACTCTTATAATGGATCCAAGTCAACCAAGGTGATTGGGTAGTGCCTCTTGTACTGCCTCCCGTCTTGGAGTTTCGGTGAGACGATGTGAGCTTCGACATGGCCACAGAATTCATTCACCACTCGACTATCCCGTCCAGACTATCAGGAGAAAGTTGATCCTATCATGGTTCCAACATCAAAAAGCCTTTCCAGCCGATCCCTAATAAGGTTGGCACTAAGGTTGCCCAAGCATTCCAACGACTTAGGTTTCTTCATCCAATTTTCTGCCGATGAAACGCCTCAACTGCATGGAAATGCCCCAAAACAATTAATGTGAATCTTCTGCCAAAAGTTGCTTTCATATTTTCCCCTATCTAATCTATCTGATTGAAGACCCCAAAAACATGTCCACCATCCCACCATCCACGGCTCGCGATCACCGCGCCTCCCCAGGCTTCAAATCCTGGTGGCTGGGCTCGGGCCCATGGACCGCAACAACATGGACCATGAAGGCACTATCTCTACGTGCTGAACAAATGATCTTAGTTCAATAACAGACCCTTTGGAGTTCAGTCTTTGAGGTGAAGGGGCCAAAACATGTGGTTTTACAACACAGAGTCTTGTGAGGCTTTGAACAAGCCGGAGCAGCACCGCTTGACACCCACAAGCCTCCAACGAAGGATTTCTGTTGCATTACTCTACATGTGCCGTGTGGGCAATGGCCAGTGTCAAGCGGGCAGTTTCAACCATCAGAGGTCTCCACATCGGTCAGACATGCTGAGACCGCCAAGGTCCCCTTCATCGGTCAACATGTCGACGAAGTGGTGGGATTCTTCAGTCGCCCAGCGATTCGCTTTCATCAGTCGCCCAGCGATCTGGCTCCAAAAGCAAGGGGCCATTGCGAATCGAACGGTTTGGTCACATCGCCGAATCGCAATAAACTTAAGCAAATCAACTTCGGAAAGGGACGCAGGACGTTCTGGGCTCTAGAAAGAGAATGGTGCAAATGCAAATAGGGAACCCAGTGATGGATTTACAGTTTCGGACTGGAATACAACTGTATGGGAACCCAAGTCGGGAATCGCACAGTGTGCAAATGCAAATAGGGACCAGTTTTACAGTTTTACCTGTGCGATTCCATAACCACTATACACCCAAAACAAGCTATACCTCTCGACTCTCGACAACCCAGTTGGATACGTATGGGCGGTGGCACCATCGGCACCATCATGGCACCTGTCATGTCTTCATGTCCATGTCTTCCTGAGAGCATTTGAAGGCTATGGACATCTGTGAATTAGCTCATCTACTTTCGACCGTTGGCAAAACCACCCACAGATGGAGATATGGAAATTCTGAGATGTTTCGAATGTTCCATTCCAAGTTCGGTGTGTGGGTTGATTCATGAACCGTCAACATTGCCCCTACAGGTCAAAGACTGAGAGGTCAGGAAATAGATGGAGGAAAATACGAAAACACTCAGAAACCCGGTCGCTGGCAGGTTTCTTACTGGGTCGGTGGGACGAAAAAACGGTGCTACTGTTCATCCTTCAGCTCCATCTCGCCCGATCTCGGTCCCGTGTAGCGACGGCACAGCGCCCAGGCCCCACGGCGCCAGAGGTGGCACCAGCGGGGACGGCATCGGCGACAAGCATGGCCCAAGCAGTTGGCTGGATTTGATGGTTGAAATCATGAAGTTTGCAATATATATGATGACCGTGCATCTTAAATGTGAAGAATAAACAAATAAATAAGACCTTATGATCAGCAGGTGAATCGTAGCTCAGTATAGACATGTATATAGACTATTTGGTGATGTTCTATTCTTTTCTGGGATACGCCCACGGAAGTTGACATAAATGTCCCAGCGTTTTCATCGACCATAACAGCCAGTTGGCTTTGATTGGAGGGTGAGTTTGATGATTTGATGAGCTTGCTGGCGACCTTCGCACCCACCTGCAATGAAGGGTGTCTATGACACCAGAATCTTCCACTTTCCAACGTCGAGCTATGCCAATGAGCACCAGTGAGCCGTGCCAAATCGATCCCACCCTTCGAGACACAGGACTCCCTCGAGCGAGAGACATCATGGACACCCTGATTCCGGCCCATCAGGGTATTAATCATGTATAGACTGTATAGACTCTTGATTAAATTGCACCCCCATATGAAGAGGAGTATGAAGAGGTATTGAAGAGTCATTATTAGTTTATAAACCTTACAAAAGAAATGGTCAAATGCAACATCAAAGGGTGTGGCTGCTGAGCTTCGGCCACTTCTATAGGCTGCTTGATGTCTGGACAACTCTGATGTGCTTGATGTCTGGCAAGGCACCTTGCTCCGAGGGACTTGTGGCAAAAGGTTAAGACATCCCATGGGAATCAATCCTTCACGCACCATGGCGTAGTGGACTCCAAGCTTGGGAATACTTGGAGTGCTCCATGAACCTCTACATGTGAGTGTGAACTTGTGCGGCAAAAACATGGTTTCTGGGGTGTCTCACCAAATTCCCAGTAGAGCCCCAGGCTGATAGGGGACATTAATGAATCAATGTATTAGGCCTTTGGGCCTAAAACCCTAACACACACACAAACCTGGGAGTTGACTCCGCACACACCACACACCTGGGAGTTGACTCCGCATACTCCTCGCAAATAACTTTTTGCCCAGGAGGCTGCTGCTGAGTTCATCGCGCTCCTGTGGCAATTTTGGAAAGAACAAGGATGAATTGTGTTTATACCACCGCGCTAAGCAGGGCCGTACCTCCATTCTTTAAAGCATCTGCCGAAGATCTTACGTATTCAGATACATATCTCTACATCTCTACCCTGCAAGTCTTAGTGGAACCACGTGTGCATATCCCAACTAGACCCTCACCAAAGGGCGTCTTTTGCAGCCAGCTTTCACAAGAACCCAATCTTTCGCCTGCATCGTCTCTGTGTTGTGGATCTGAACTCCGACCCTCGCGATACATACTGGTCAAAGGATCGGTGCATCGATTTGTCTCAAGGGTGGAAGAGTACAATGGCGAACTTGATATTCACTGCATAGTGATCTTTAGACTTCAACCATTGGGCCATGTCTTGCGGCGTTTGGTTATATGGTGGTCCCAGCTGGTGGAAATCAGGCCTTGCACCAGCGCAAACGATGGTTATGGGAAGCGTCAATCCAATCAACCTATAATACACCCTCCCTATCCCTCCCTGAACACATCATGGTTAATTGCGTGGATGGCATGGCCCCTGGAAAACAAAAATAAACATGACATTCTCGAACAAAAGCCGGTGGTAGAACTGGATAGATCGACCTTGTGAACTGAAAACACCCCAAACCGGTTCATATTGGTGGTCTTGCTGTTGTGTAGAAGTGCTGCGTAACAAGGTGCCACAGCACATAAAACATCATATTAAATATCCAATGCTCCAAACATATTAGCTTTGGACCCTGTGTATCTGCTCGATTTCCTTTGACTTGACCACCTCGTCTGGGTGAAATCCGTGGGCCGTTGTGCCTTCCCTCCGTGGTGCCGCGCAACGCCCTCCCCAGCGCCGCGGCGCCTCCGGGCTCATGTGCTCCGAGCGCCGCAGCGGCAACCAGTGGACTTCCCTGCGGTCGGGCGTCCGCGAGGCGCGACGCGAGGGGCAAACGCACACATCATCCCCTTTGTATTCCTCTCAACTTTGCTATTCATATCTTGATGTACCCACCTTCCTCCAAACACGGGAGCTTGTCATTAATTATATAGACATCTTAGACATGGCACCAAGCAAAGCTACTTCAGAGTCCTGCGATCCTTTCTGATTTCTGAAGGAGCGATGCCAGGTTTCAGATGAACACGTGTGCCGAAAGAAAGAACAACTGTGTGTGTTGTGGTCTGAAAGCAGTCTACAAAGCATGTGTCTTTTTCTTTCACCCCTAGAAACTGAAGTGCTTCAAGACCAATCCGAATTGGCACGTTGCCGGCATCACATGGGAGTGATCAATTCTCCTCATGGGCACCTTCAAACGGCATACTCCGGAACCAATATATTTTTTACGGGCTTCCTACGGGTTACGACGGTTTTTTTAACGGGTTCCCCACGGGTTAGGAAAAACATTTTTTTGAAGACACGGTTTCTCTAGTCTGACCCACGGGTATAGACGGGTTCCCCACGCTTATAGACGGGTTCCCCACGGGAACCTTAAAATTTGGATGGTTTGAGGGGCTTTTGTCATTAAAGTCCGTTCGACAACCACCAGAAAACACAAGATGTTTGGAGACCTGTTTTTTTTGAGAGTGTTACTTTCAAGGCATCGATACACGCTGAAGGGCACAATCTGGGCTTTGTGTTCGCATGGGCACCAACCAACTGACTCAACACGGATTTGCTACCCTACCCCCTCATTCTTTACAAGTGGTTCATACGCGGGCACTGCTCAAAAGGACATGTTCAACAACAAGACTCAAGTTTAGGAGGGTTTGGGGTGACACCGGCCCATGCTGGTGGTATATCATAGTCCATGAGCCAAACAAGTCTGAGATCAAAAAACGACCAAAAAACACATAAGCCATGGCAAGCCATTCTTCTTCACGAATAAGCTTCGGCAAAGCACATGGAGGTTTCAATGGGAAATATGGAGACATGAGTGACATCAACAGGAATCTAACACAAACCCAAGCAAATCCATGTTTGTTTCTGTGTTTGACCGTGCAAACCAGTCAATTCATCCAATGGATTCCAATGGTTTGAATTGCCTCCCGTGTCTGCCTCCCCGTCCCATGTCAGGCGCGGACTCCAAAGATAAAACGATCTGCTGCACTTGTGTGGCCTGAAATTTAGAGACCCAAGACATGGCAGCGAAAACATCAACAAGGACACGAGGAAGGATGAGTTGTCTTTGCAGGAGGCTGGCGTGGGGAAAGCGCACAAGAGAGTTTGGGCCATGGTCGATGATGTTCTTCAGTCAAGTGGCTTCTGTTTATATAAAAGGGAATATCATGTTTTAGTAATTTCTTCAATCGCTGCGAGGTTCCTGTGAATTCTGAACCATGGATGCTTAGTTCAGTGGTCCTATCATACTCCTGGCTGAATGAGGTCGGGAAATCTTGCCAGTCAAGTGAGATGTCCTTCGACCTCTACTTAGGGTGTTCCCCCACTTTGTGTGAAGTGGTTCCTGCAATGGGGACTGTTCCTGATCATGAACGCCGGCAGTTTCAGGGGGGGGTGGATCGCTGCGGAAGAAGAAAAGTGGGGATATCACCTAATTAGGTATTTGCGAGTTGCACTCCAAAATTCACACACCCAACTTGTTGGGGATGTAGCCATCTCTCAACCGAGGAAGCTGAACACATATTGCTGCAAATGCACGGATGATGGGACAACCGCCCAAGTTAGCTGCTTCCCACCTCTAAAGTTTCATAGATTGTGTGCTTTGCTGCGCCAGTATGTGCAAGCGCTTGCATCAGAGTATATTGAAAATCCAAGTTCAAAAAGCTATTCGAGGAGCCGACAGGGTTCAATAACTATTACACATCCTTTTTCAACCCAGAGCCACTGCATATGTTCCACCAAGAGGTATATCTTCATACTTCACCTCCTCACCCGTTTTCATGCCGTGCTGTTGACCCCAAAAGCACCGACCACAGTGCAGTCCAGTATGCTTGAATAGAAAACGGCCACAAAAGGTTGAACCATTGTTCGGAAATGGTTTTGTTAGCTGAAACATGTTGCAGTAGTCCACAAACCGTTCAACTTTTTGCCTCTTCCGTCTGAAACTTCGGTTGAGAGTCCGCGGATTTCTCTGTCTCTTTGAAGCAAAAACAAGTCGACATCACGCCACACTTCGCCTGGAAGTGGAGGACCTGTCTCTGTTGCGTCTGCCAGTCGGAACTCATGCCCACCTGTTTGTCGCAGCAGTCCCCGAATACATTGGGAAATGTTGGCCGCATGGAGACCAAGTTCACGAGCTGCGCTTGCCATGGAGTGATGCCACCTCCAGCTATCGCAAGTTCCGTGAGGCCGACTGAAAACAGGCTTTGCAGTAGTTCCAAGCCGAATGGCGGAGGTGGCGATGAAGTGAGCTCGGTTTTCAGCAGAGGAGACCCACTCCAGATTCTCCACTCCATTGTTGCCTTTGTCCAGATCCTTGTGGTTCACATAAGATTGATGACTGGAAGGCGGTGGCCCAAGAAAGGCAACAGCGACCAAGCGATGAACACGCGCATCTCGGCAGTCTGCATTAATGCATAGTTTTGTTGTGTAGTATCCCTGTTGACGCAGGTGCCCCCTGCTGATCAACCCCCGCCGTGACGTTATGCGGCCAAACGAGCTCACCATCCTTCCTGGCACGAAAACACCTGACGTCGGATCAACCATCTGTTGCCATTCTTCTCCTGGCAAGGTAAGCTCACGCAGCTCTTGGTACTTAAATTCATAGCCTTTGGCCGCGCAAAGCTTGCGGCAACATCTTGACACAGTGGCTCTGTGTATCCCTAGCTGCTGAGCTGCCGCTGTGGCAGATGGGTTTCTGGTCCAGAACGTGGACCCAGCAGGTCTCCACAGCACAGGCTTCGACTGTGCAGGCCCAGATTTTGACCTTGAAGGGTTAGAGTACGAGTGCTGCATGTTTTGGCTACGAGATACGTATTCCAGGTTGTCCAAGCGGTTGTTGGCTTTGTTGCCATCGAGGTGATGCACTTCCCAGGCTTCATCAGACTTTGGAAGTCCATGAAAGGTAATCTTTACAACGCGGTGAACTGGCCACTTTTGCCCAAGAATCATAACCCTCCTGTAGCCATTGCCATCAAGAGACCCGTTTGAAATGATGCCTTTGGTGTTCCAGATTCGACCATGCGAGCTCACCTGCCAAAACCCTTTTGGACGTGGAAGCAGCTGGGTGGTGAAGAATCTCAAGTATGTCCTCCAATGGGACACTGCAAAAAATGGTCGCCATGTTGTCAGCATGGGCGGAAACACTATTAACATGCGTGGAGTCTTGCACATCAGTCGAATAGTGCTCTTGACAGTCTTTTATGAACAACAAACATATAAGTTATATATATATAGTGAGAGATAAGTGCTTCTTTTGGCATGCTGCATGCTCCACTTGTGAACCGAACCTGAAAACAGGCATCAAAAGCTGTCCGACTGTCCGATTTGCTCGCAGAACAATCTTCAGATCGCCCAAATGCAAGCAATTCCACTCAGCAGTCAATGCTATGTCTATGTTTTAATTACAATGTTTTGTTTCACACACCCAGAAAAAGGAAACCAGGTTCTGAGATGCAAACTTGGTGTCCTTTCCAGCTCAAGAAACACAAAGATGAGGCTGACATGCTAGATGCTTCACCATTTGCGGGGATGCCCTGTTCAGTTCGTGATCGGGAAGTTTCTAAGCTGGAATGATCAAGCCACCAAAAGACATCAACACAGTGTCGCCTGACCTCATAGAACACAGTGACCTGTTGAGTCACCACAAAAATCCCCGAGGAAGAGGGCGTCTAACAAATGGAAGAAACCAAGTGAGTCAACCAAGAACGCATCGAGGTTCATTGTCAATTTTCCTGATTCATTTCCTGAGCCGGAAGACACAACTGGAAAATATAGTTGTCATTGTCACAACTGCACCGCCTTGTAAACAGCAATCCCCCGGCCGATGCAAGCTTTGGACCTGATACCGTTACAAAAACAAACAACTTCGGAACCATTTTTGCGGAAAGACATCGCTTGCAAAGTAGTCAGAGGTCTATGTGATGTGAGTCATGTCGTGCATCTGCGTACTATTTTTTGAACAGTGCTTAACTTCACACAAAGGTGGCCGTACAAATCACTGGCTTCGCACAAAGCCCCGATGCCTGCATTATCTCTCAAGTCACAACCTCTCAAATGCCACAGCTTCTTTGCTGGGAAAAGTCTTCAGGAAGGCTACAAGCCTCCAAAACTTAAAAGCAGCCAACTATCGATTGAAGCAAAGGCTACGGAATTCTCTATCTTTCTGGAGCAAAAGCAAATCAACTGTGCGCCATTCTTCGCCCAGGAGCGAAGACTCGAAGGCATCCGCCAGTTGGAACTCATATCCACCGGTTTGCCGCTGCAGTCCTCGGGTGCACCTTGAAATGCAATTGCAACGGAGACCAAGTTCTAAGGCTGCGCTTGTCATGGAGCGATGCTGACTCCACAAATCCTCCGTTCCATGACGCCGGCTCCAAACAGACTTGGGAGTAGTTGTGTGGTCACGTGTGGATGTTGCATAAGAATGAGCTTGGTTTTCGGACGCAGACACCCATTCCAGATTATCAACAGCATTATTGCCTTTGTCTCTATCTTTGTGGTTGACAAATGTTTGATGATCGCAAGGCGGTGGACCAAGAAAGGCAAAAGCTACCAACCGATGCGTATACACATTCTTGCAATGTGAATCAACTGTTATACAGGTTCTGTAGTATCCGTCTTGAGTCAAATGCCCTCTGCCTATTAACCCAGTCCGTGAGGTTGTGGTGCGGCCAAACGAGCTCACCATCCTCCCTGGCACGAAAACACCTGACGTCGGATCAACCATCTGTTGCCATTCTTCTCCTGGCAAAGTAAGCTCATGCAGCTCTTGGTACTTAAATTCATAGCCTTTGGCCGCACAAAGCTTGCGGCAACTTTCGGCCACAGTCTTTTTGCACATGCCCAGCTGCTGAGCTGCCGCTGTGGCAGATGGGCTTCTAGTCCAGTTTGTGGACCCAACTGTTCTCCACAGCACAGATTTTGATAGTACAGGTCTCCTCCTCGTTGCGCTACAGAAGGAGTGCCACACGTTTTCTCTTGGTGTTACGTACTCCAGATTGTCCAAGCAGTTGTTGGCTTTGTTGCCATCCAGGTGATGCACTTGCCAGGCTTCATCAGACTTTGGAAGTCCATGAAAGGTAATCTTTACAACACGGTGAACTGGCCAGTTTTGCCCTGAAATCATGACTCTCCGGTAGCCAGTGCCATTGAGGCACCCCTGCGAAATTCTTCCTCCAGAGTCGCGAACACGGCCGTGCGAGCTTACTTCCCAACACGCTTTGCTGAAGAACCGCAGGGCCGGTGGCCAGCGGGGGCACAATCTTATGGATGTCGAAGAGAGCACATCCAGCATCCAGGATCTCATCATGCACTGAACCGGGGTTTGGGGTTTCTAGGTCTGAACAAATATAATCCACACTGCTGCTCTCCTGGCTAAAAAACTATCAAGAAGCGACATCCACTACTTACATACTCTGGGTGATCCGTCATCTGTGCTTGTTGGCCTTTTGGACATAAACGCTGCACTGCGCATCATCAAAGCTATCAAATAAACTCGAGTCTATGACTTGATCACTGTCGACCTCTCGAAGCTTGCCAATGCTGACTGATTCCTGCAATTTATTATTTAAAGCGCACGCATCAGCTAAATTAACATGATGATTGTTCTCTAAGTTTACATTGTGGCTCAGTCATGCATAATCATGTGGTGCACAGCTTTGCTGGAGAGATACAACTCCTTTCTTTTCGGGTCTAGAACATGTTTGTTTTAGTCTTGGGTAACTGAATTGGAATGATCTGATTCGCCTAGGGTGCACCGTATCTTCAGTGATTTGGTTCGTGATCAGTCCAACAAACAAGCAGAACACAAATCAACTGTAACTAATTATCCTCTCCGCATGCTGCTTCTACCTGCCTTCGTGGGTGCAAGCTCGGTGGTTTGGGCCATCTGCAGTAGCTGCGGCAAATGACCTGCGAGCAAACACGGAAGGGGAGTCGTGGGAGCTTAGAATTGGATAATTTGATGGGTTGATGATCCTGGTTCTTCTGGAGAAGGGGAACCCAAAACCTCTTTGTAGAGGAACATTGTCTTTTTCGGGCACTATCCATATCTATCCATCATGTTGAGTCGGAGTGTCAGGTTATCCAACAACCTCCAAACCCTGACTGAGGTGAAATGGAGGTGACGGTAGATTTCAGGAAGCTCAACTGCTGTTGGGCAAACATGGATGGCCTTGATCCCTGCCAAGCAGAGTATTAGTTTTTGTGTCTGCTCTCAAAGTAGCTCAAAGTGACCTGTCTGCTGCTTGCAGTTTGGTCTTGGGAGGGACAGTCGCCGCCTTATGAGGATTCTGCGCTGGATCCGCAGTTTTGATGTGGTGAAGGTCATGGAGTGTACAAGGGATCCAACGGAAGAGGGGAGCCGCCGAAACAATATGGATGCTGGAGTAAGGGCCAAATGTCAATGAAATGGAACTTTCACCTACCCCATCACATTCCAGAGAACCTTCCATGGCCAATTCAAAGAGCACCAAACACGCAACGATATAAAAGTTCAAACTCAATCAACCATCAGTTCAGCAGTGAAAAGCCTGTTCTTCGATGTGTCTCAGCGTGGATAATCTAAATATATCTAAACCATCATGAAACAGGTCTGTGCAGAGATGCAACAGAGTGGGTTGTAAGCAGGTGCTTAAATGTGATCCACCATGAATCATCCAAGATATCCTGCCCTTGGGTTCCAAAACGCAATTGTTTCACGAGCTTGACCACGGCAAAGCTGAATGGTCATTTCAACGCACCTGAGCCGGAAAAGCGCAGTGCCAACGCCCAGGCGATGCTCAGCGCCTGAAAGATCGCAGCAGTTGTGGCCCTGGCAGCCCAAGAACTGCTCTCCTTGCTGGGCAGCTTATCCAAACCCAAACGACACATTTGTATGATCAAATGGCACGTGGGACATATTTATCTACAATATGTCGGTCCCACGAACTGGGACAGCCGCATGTACCTACATGATCTACATGAGCCGCTGATCGCTGCTTGCTGCCCCTGGAGAAGATCTCTTCAGACCCATGGATTGCATAGGAAAGGATCAAACTACTTGGACCTGTAGAAGAACTGTGCTGAAGAGAACTGCTCAACAGCACGAATACGATCATGGACCCATATTAATTACTGTACATGGACTCATCAAGCAACAGCATAAGAACTACCTTCATTCCTGCAAGTTCGGTCATTCCTGCTAACTCCACCTCCTGAGATTCCAGCCAACGACGCCTTTCACACCCTGATAGAATCAATCCACGTTTTTGGGGCTAACTGGGTGATACCCCTTGTCATAACGACTGTGAAGGTCATCTAGGTGGTGTGCATTGAAATAGGATGACACCCCAATTGCCCCTCCGAAAGAATCCAAAAACAAACCACGCAGTCTACCAGTGTCTACCTATTGGGCCTAAGATACAACTCTTGCTGCTTAGTGTTAAAAAGTCCTTTCTGATCGATGAGATGCGGAAGAGAAGGAGCTCCGACCAGCGGCCTCGTCGGGTGCCAGGTGTTCCAAGAGCCGAGGGAGCGCCAGGCCATGCAGCTCCTTCCCAGGAGTAAAACACACCCAAAAATCGACACCCCACCCAAGAAAGCTATAGTCTATAGTTGTCTAACATATATCTGGTGTTCAGGGTGTTGATTCATCTCAAAGGCAACAGTTCTGCTCAAGGCTGCAATGACTGTGGGAGCTCTTCCAAATATATACATGGCTTACTTGAACAAACTCAAGCAGTTGGTGTCCCCGTTGCCTAGCCAAACATGTTCGGAACAATATCGAGTGCGGTTTCCCCTTTGTCTAGTCTACAGTTGTCTGGAGTCGATGACTATGGCCGACTCTGAACCTGGCGCGTGACGATGAGGGACTGACGATGGTTGCGGTGACGTTCAATTGTTCTACCTCTTGAATCCCTGTGATTTATGTCGATAAACTCCTGTCCACCCGTGGACTGATGTTTGGATGACTGGGTGGCTTCCTTCGACTGGCGCACCGACATCGCAATCAGTGCTCCTCGAGGAGAGTCACGGGGCACATCTCATGTGTCGCCAAAGCTAAGAAAATGTCGGCCACGTCAACATTCCCCCTACAGGTCCAAAGACTGACCTCATGAAATAGATGAAGTCATCTCTAATAGGTCTCAGAAACCCGGTCGCTGGCAGGTTTCTTAACTGGGTCGGTAGGTCTTGTAGGGTGCTACTGTTCATCCTTCAGCGCACAGCGACTGGTCCACCGGTCCCGTGTGGCGACGGCACAGCGCCCAGGCCGTGTGGCGCCAGAGGTGGCACCAGCGGGGACGGCATCGGCGACAAGCATGGCCCAAGCAGTTGGCTGGATTTGATTCGTCGAGATCATGAAGTTTGCAATATATTTGATGGTTGAGGGTATCTTAAATGTGAAGAATCCACAAAGAATAAAACCTTATATGATCAGCAGGTGAATCGTATCGCTCAGTATAGACTATTGGGTGATGTTCTCTTCTTTTTCTGGGATATGCCGAGCGTGTTCGGTTTCTGAGCGTTTTCATCGTTGCACCGAAGGTTTGAGTTGGTTCACTTTTGTTCACCATATCAGCCAGCTGGCGTTGATGGCTTGGAATGATTGGAGGGTGGTTCGATGCTCCAAAGCCAGTTGATGGCGTTGATGGCTTTGATGGGAGGGTGAGTTTGATGATTTGATGTGCTTAGCTGCCGACTTTCGCCCCACCTCCTATGAAGGGTGTCATAGAGACACCCGAATCGAGCCCACTAACACAAACGGTCGAGCCGTGCCAAAAACGGGGCACCGGTGAGCCGTGGAAATTCGATCCCACCCGTCCGGACACCAGCGCGATTGAAAGGAAGCGAGACATCATGGACACCCCGAAGACCTGAATCAGGGTATTAATCATGTATATAGACTCTTGATTAAATAGCCCCCCATATGAAGAGGTAATGAAGAGGTGTTAGCTATTTACTGGTAAACCTTACAAAGAAAGGGTCAATAACATCAAAGGGTGTAGCTACTGGGCTTCGGCCACTTCTATAGGCTGATGTGCTTGATGTCTGGCCAGCCACCTTGCTCCGTGGGACTTGTGGCAACAAGTTAACACATCCTATGGACATAGTTTCTGAATCAATCCTTCGCCTTACCATGGCATAGTGGACTCCAAGCTTGGGAATACTTGGAGTGCTCCATGAACCCCTACATGTGAGTGTGAACTTGTGCGGCAAAAACATGGTTTCTGGGGTGTCTCACCAAATTCCCAGTAGAGCCCCAGGCTGATAGGGGACATTGATGACTCAATTTATTTGGCTTCTGGGCCTAAAACCGTAACACACACACACACACACACCTGGGAGTTGACTCCGCATACTCCTCGCAAGCAACTTTTTGCCCAGGAGGCTGCTGCTGAGTTCATCACGCTCCTGTGGCAATGTTGGAAAGAGCCAGGATGAATGATGCTTATACCATCGTGCTAAGCAGGGTCGTACCTCCATTCTTTAAAGCATCTGCCAAAGATCTTACGTATTCACACACATATCACATATCTCTACATCTCTACCCTGCAAGTCTTAGTGGCACCACGTGTGCGTATCCCAACTAGACCTTCACCAAAGGGGTCTTTGCAGCCAGCTCTCAAAAGAACCAAATCTTTCGCCTGCATCGTCTCTGTTTTGTGGATCTGAACTCCGACCCTCGCGATAAATACTGCTGGTCTAATGATCGGTGGATCGATTTGTCTCAAGGGTTCAGAGTACTATGGCGCTTGGGTCGTGGTCCCAGCTGGTGGAAATCAAGCCTTGCACCAGCGCAAACATAGTTATGAGCGTCAATCCAATCGACCTATAATACACCCTGAAACCATCTTGGTTCTTTACGTGGATAGCATGGCCCCTGCCAAAACCGGTGGTTTTCACTCACTCCACCAAAGCCTGTGACGACAGGCGGGAGGGTAGATCCAACTTGTGAACTTGACGCCCCAAACAGGTTCATATTGGTGGTCTTGCTGTTCTGTTGTGTAGAAGTGCTGCGTAACAAGGTGCCACAGCACATAAAACATCATATTAAATATCCAATGCTCCAAACATATTAGCTTTGGACCCTGTGTATCTGCTCGATTTCCTTTGACTTGACCACCTCGTCTGGGTGAAATCCGTGGGCCGTTGTGCCTTCCCTCCGTGGTGCCGCGCAGCGCCCTCCCCAGCGCCGCGGCGCCTCCGGGCTCATGTGCTCCCAGCGCCGCAGCGGCAACCAGTGGACTTCCCTGCGGTCGGGCGTCCGCGAGGCGTGACGTGAGTGGCGTGACGCGAGGCGTGGCGTGGCAGTGTGGTTGGGGGAGTTCGGAGGTTGTTTGGAATTCGGTTGAGAGCCTGGTCCAGCGTGGACGTAATCTAAGAGGACCTTCCAACCTGGGCCTTGGTTGAAGTGTCAGAAATCGTGGGTGTACTGACTGAGAGTGCCGGAAGAAAAAACTAGAGACATGACGACGACCCTGTCATGGGCGTCCCCAGACATTTGACACACATGTCTGGATGGAGTTGACATGTCAAAGTTCGATTGCCAGGTGGGATCAGGTGGGGGTGGCTCCGACATTTGTAGCTGAACAATTGAGTGCTGACGACGGTGCTGGCGGACCCAGATCGAGGTTAGAAGCAAACCCAGCGAAATGAAGCACTGAAAACAAGGACCATCCTCTATATATGCAGCATGACACTGGGCTACTCACTGGGAACTATTTAATACACCTTGCCACTTGCAAAATGCTACTCAAATACCTTGCAGGTGTCAGATCCTGTAACATCCAGAGGTTCGTGCAAATCATTGGAAATCTGCAGATCTGAGATTACTCTGAGCAACTCCAAACAACATACAGATGCAAGTCATGCCATACAAGCCCTGAGGTCATGTTCCAGCAAAGGGGGGCTAAGCACCCCGGGCCAACTATTGCAGTGCCATACAAAACCACTATCTGGAACAAATCAAAACCTAAAAATCCATGCCATGAAGCTTTTATGTAAGTGACTGACCATTGTGACCATTGCAAAACCACTCCAGCTCCAACCAGTTGCTCCGGACTCCTTTTCCGAGGTCCCAGACCATCCCAAGTGTCGCAAATGTCGGCACTTCAAGGTGATCCAGGGGCTCCAGGGAGCCTCCCGACCGGAGGCGACCGACAGCGTCCGTCAGGTCGGACCTTTTTTCTTGTCGATCTTCCAATTCGCCGGCACACCATGCTTCAAAGCTGCAGCTGGGTATCTCCAAACGATTGGAACAGTTCGGATGCGTTCGTATGCTGTAGATCCACCGGTCGATACACCATGCACGTCGCCACACACCGCGTCGCGGAGATCGCCTCGGCGGTGGCACGGGTCACCGAGTCCAAGACCAAGGCCCTCTGTCCCTGGGACGGTGGGCGGTCCGCTTGGCCGATGGGATGGGATGGATGACCAATGGATGGGTTCCTGTCCTCTCAGAATCCGTAGAAGATTTCGTTGTTCTGATCACACAATCAAGAAGAGATAAATAACTAGAGCCTGGCAGAGGTTCAACTTGCTCTTGCATCGAGAACAGTTTGTTGAACAAGCCCGGCTACCGAACGGTGGGCTCCGTAGGCCATCTGCAGGAGTTGAGTCGATATACGGCAGCTACATCCCGAGTGTGTCTCGCATATCACTGTCCATCCCAGTTCCAGCCTGTCAAAAAGCTCTAATCTCCTGCCCTCAAGACATCGACCTTTTTTCTGCCTCGAGCGGGTGGTGGTTCTGCCTCCAATTCGGGGTGGTTTAGTGAGCCCTCTAACTCACACTGGCTTGACCACAAAACCAGGAACCAGTTGCCGCCAACTGATTGCATCACAAAAACAAACCAAGCACCTAAGGTGTATCGTCAAAAACATGTTGAAACATATTATCTAGATCATATCGGGCTCTGTCTGCCCCAAATTCCCTCAAAAAGAACCGTCCACATCTTCTATAGACCTCCATCCATCTCCATGCCCCGAAGGAGTGCAGCACCTCGATCGCCAGATCCAGATGATAGAACTCCTCTCACGGCTCGGTGCCGCCGATCGGAACTGGGTGGTTTTTGCTCCAGTTCCAAGTCGGGGTGCCCAATCCACATCACATCTGCCCCTGGGATGAACCAAACCATGGAACTCCTGGCTTTTTGTGGTAAATATGATATTGGCATCATGTTGGAAGGCCACAGACTCAGGTTGGAAGGCCACAGAGAGATGCTTTTTTCTGAAAGTTGGAAGGATTTCTTAAGGGTCTTGCCTGATAGCCACTTGATTTGGAATAAATGAATAGAAATCAAAATTGGACGAACATGAGGCAAGCGGTTGAAGCGCTGCAAAACGCTGTTGATTTTAGAATATTTTAAGAACTATTGGGTGTGTATCATAGTCTTGCAATGTCTTCCAGATTGCCTTGGTTCCTGTTTGGGACTTCACCCAAACACCTCTCCCCATCCCCCTGCACCTCAAGCACCTCATCCAGGCTGAAACGGACACCCGCCTCACTGTTCAGGATAAGGTGGGAGGTTGCACAGTTCGGGTTGATGTTTCACATTGTCTTCTGGTTTATTGATGTAATGCCGTTTGTCGATTAAGACCATGTGAAAACAATTCAAGGTCAAAGAAAATTTGCCGGTATACGGAGAATGTTGTTCGTGTTCAAACAAGAGTGGCTGGTGCTAAGGGTTACTTGGGGAGTGGCTCATGCATCACAAATGTTCATGCAAAAATGTTCCCCAATCGCCAATATTAACTTAATAACATCGCACTGGTGTGAAAGAACAAAAAAATCACTCACCGCTGAAACATCCCCTGTTGGTTTAACATCTCACGGCAGCCCAGCTGACACGACACACACCCAGTTCAGATCTGGATAGAACATGCAAATCCAAATTATTCAAACAAATATCCTGAACATAATCATATATGCCAACTGGTGGGGTCAAATAGTTGCATGCAAGCCTCCTGCGGTGTCACTCTTACACTCCATTCTCTCAGCGCCGACCGATTCTTATAGAGGCACGGATCGCCAGCCCGACTGAAATCAGGACTTCGGACAGCGATATTAACTGGTTTTTGGGTTTAACCTCGACCCTTAATGTTGGATCTTAATTCGTATAACATTAGTATAACCGCCCCCTCCCCCCAACAAACAATCGAGGATGTCTCAACAGCTCAGTGAGTTCAGTAGCACCGCCACAAAAACACTTCTAGTAGCAGCAGTAGTAGTAGTAGTAGTAGTAGCAGTAGTAGTAGTAGTAGAGTAGTAGCAGTAGCAGTAGCAGCAGTAGCAGTAGCCGTAGTAGTAGCAGCAGCAGTAGGTAGTCATTCTGGTTAAACAAGATCTTAAAGGG